GCGCTGAGTCGAATGGTGATGTTTATTTTTAGTTTTAGTTTTAAAGCGATTGAAGTCATCAAATCAAGATTTCCGAAATTCTAATATAGCGGCGGAATGTTGAAAGCTTGATTTGATGACTTCAATCGCTTTAAAACTAAAACTAAAAATAAACATCACCATTCGACTCAGCGCGGCTGATTACCCCTATCTTGACCCATTTTAAGGGTGATTGGAGGTCATCTGGCCGATTTCGGAGCTCTCAGGAAAATGCGTATAACTTCTCAACGGAATGCGCTAGAGAGCTCGGCCTTGAGCAGATCGAAAGAGAACAATTTTCTCTATCGAATTGTTAGATTAGATCCGATTAGAAATCAAAAGAGAATGCAAAAGGCAAAAACTGCATGTAAAGAAAATTTTTCAAAATTTTGATCGATGCGATTCTCTCGTGCAATTCATGCTAATGAAATAAATTTTTTTCCCTTGAAAGCTTAGATGCTGCTCTTCAGAAGGCTATCTTCAAGAGCAGTCTACGTTAGAATATGATAAAGTTAGAACAAAAACAAAAATGGGGCCGAAACTTATGGAACACCCTTTAGTACTGCCTGCTCAACTTCCTCAACCAACACCAACAGTATTATCTCAAATGTACCAGCACCAAATTCAATTCGTACACAAATTAAAACAAGTAAAAATATTGAATCTAGTGTGGTTGGGAATTCTATTGAAATTACACATGAAGCTCGTCGTCTCGCCGAGACGAGATTTGCTTTTCCTCCATTCATCGTCAAATTCAACCAAGATGTTGATGAAAAATGCGTTATTAAATTTATTTCTTCTTATTGCTCCACCAATTACGATTTCGACTTAAAATTTGCTGGTCATCGACTTAAAGGTAAACGAGATTTATTCTTATTTGCTAACGATCGTGATACATTTCTAATTCTATTTAATGAACATAATTGGCCCGCAACAATTGATTCACTTACATATGAAAAAATCATTCCTAATCATCTACCAGCTCAATTTTCTATTCTACTTCGTAGTGTTCCAACTGATCTTGATGTTCGTACATTATTAACTTCTATTCAAAAAGATTATTCGGATGTTATTAGTGCCTTTCGAATTAGTAACAGGAATAAACTTCCTACTACTTTTGTTAGACTTGATATTAAAAATGTAAATGTTATCAATGAATTACTTAACAAAAAATTCTTATATGTTAACAATATTCGTTTTGCAATTACTGAATACCTTGCACCAGCGAGGGTCCTGATTTGCTCGAAATGTTTTCAAGTAGGGCACTTTAGGAGCTCGTGTAAAAATCGTTTAGATTTTTGTAAATTTTGTGGTGTTGGTGTTAATGATCTTATTCAACATAAATTAAATTGTGATAAAAAATTAAGTTGTTTAAGATGTAAAGGTGAACATGATGCAAATGATATGAGATGCCCTATTATAAAAGATTATAGATCTGCACTTACGAAATCTATTCTTAATACAGTTGGTGTGAATAATCATCCACAACAAAATCAAACAAATTATTGGTTTAATAATAATGACTTTCCTGTTTTAAATGTCAAGAATCCTACTAATCATCATCATGTTAATAACTTACCCAACGATTCTGGAAAAAAAATTGAAGAGCTCTCTCAAAATGAATAAAATTGAAAAAAATCTAAATAAATTATTAGATTTGAATAATAATTATTCTGATCAATTTATTGGTTTACAACAGGTGGTTACGAATCACACGCATGATTTAAAATTGCAACAAATTGATACATCATTTCAACGTGATTTTATGAACCAGTTTGTGTCTCCACTATATCAGGTATTAGTTGAAGTAATTCCTACACTTGTTAAACAAGATGTCTTAAACGACAAAACTCTATTCTGTCCTTCACTCGCGGGTTTATGTACTAAACTCGCTAATGATCTACCTGCTTGGACAAATAGATTTTTGCAAAACGAACAGGTCAAATCCAAGCTCATTAATGATCACACTCTGAAAACCCAACAACTTTGTGACCCATCAACCAACAAGAAAATTCATCCCCCTTCATCGAATCTATAACTGATTCCACTTCTTCATGTGTTCTATCCCCTCTTGCGCGTGTGTTTACCCCTTCACATCATGTAAATAAAAAAACTTTTGATATCGATTATGCTCTTTCATTGACATTCCCTTTGCTATCTAAATATGACTTTAGTTTATTAACTGACATTTGTTATGAATGGTTCTCTTTTCCTACTCTCTCTTCTTGTTTTTCCTCCTGGAAATCTTCTGATCAACTACGTACCTATGCACTCTCCTCGCAACTTCGCGTACTTCTTTTTAACGTTAGAGGATTGGATGAAAGATGAGAAGAGGTCCTCCTTTTATTGGAGAAATATAAAATAGACTGTGTTATCTTAACAGAAATAGGTGCTTTTCATCTCCCTTTAGTAAATCAAATTTTCGTTAATTTCAAATATTTTTACCAAAAAGGTGAGAATGCTTGGGGAGGAGTTTTGATGTTATTTAAAACGAGCTTACCAGTAGTACGTGTTAGTTGTGAGACCCCGAACATATGTGTAATGGACGTCAAACTTGAGCAAACTTTTCGTCTAATTGGCATCTACGCCCCTAAGAGCAAATCTTGGATATGGAACGCCCTGTCCAATTACATTACCGACTATTGTAGTCTGTTTCGTGATTTCAATATAGACTTAGACAGTAAAGCTGATGAATTAGCAGCTAAGGATCTTCTAGATTGGTCATTCTCACGTGCTCTTACTCCAATTATACCAAATATGCCCACTTCCCTTCGTTCTGATAGTACCATCGACTATGCCTTTACGCGTGGTATCCCACTTTCAATCCAAGCTTGCACCGATAATACAGCTAGTGATCACAAACCTCTAGTATGCGTACTAGAGTGTGAGAGTAAAGAGAATAGGTTAGGTAGTAACACACACTGGAAAGTTTTCCATTATGTCCTCTCACTCATTTCTGAATTTTGGGAGAAGGAAAGTAAAACATCTTCTCCACACGAGGATTATAAGAATTTTATCACACTCTTAGATTGCTTAAAAGCTCGATGTACTACCTATTTTCCAATAAAGAAATATAGAATTGCTATCCCAAAAGAACTTAGGCAAAAATTGTCCTTTGTGCGAGCTTTATCCTTCCAGCATAAAAGAACTGGTGATGTACGACTACATGCGAAAATTAAAGAATTAAGAAGAATGAATAAAACAGAACTAGCTGCGGTACGTTGCACCAAACTAGCTAGTACACTAAAAGAAAGATATTCGTCGTCTACATCCACGAGTCTCTTTTGGTCTAGACTGAGAAAAAATTTTAAAACAACCAACTCACTTGATGCCTTTATCGATACTAACAACGTGATTGCTAAAGATACTGATGCTATGCTAGAATTAGCGGCTTCACATTATGAGAATCTCTTTTCAGAATCACATGTTTATCGTCCACACCCTTATATCGATAGTCCTGATTGCCACTGGGACAATTATTATGAACCTATACCTCCAATATCTATGCCTGAACTTTTAAAAGTTACATCGAAAGTAAAGAAAAAACACTCTACTGATGCACATGGGATTTCATCATTTATGCTTCAATATATTCCGAAGATATATATGAAACCTCTTCTTCAAATATTTAATGACTCATTTGTTGGCTCCTCTACTCCTTCTTATTGGAAACACGTCAGAATGAAACTTTTAGCCAAAAAAGAATCGATCTGTGCAGTCAAGGATACTCGCCCTATTTCATTGCTAGACATCTTTCTTAAAATCTTGGAGCGGCTATTCCTAAGTCATTTCCAACGTGTTCTTAAAGACAGAGGTATACTGCATGATTCTCAATCGGGATTCAGATCAAATTTCAGACTACAAGGGTGTGGGTGTGGGTGTGGGTGGATGTGGGTGTGGGTGTGGGCGTGGGCGTGGGTGTGTGAGTGGGGGGTGGGTGTGGGGTGTGTGGATGTGAGTGTGGGTGTGGGTGTGAATGTGGGTGTACTTCTTCTCTAAATCCACACCCACACCCACCCACACCCACCCACCCCCACCCCCACACCCCACACCCCATCCACACCCACACCCACCCACACCCACCCACACCCACCCACACCCCACCCACACCCACCCACACCCAGATATATACGACTCATTTCTCTAACTTATCGAACAAACTCTTCAAACTCACTGTGCACTGCTGTTCATTATTTCATCATCCATCTTACTAATTTATCTTCATCCACGATCGAACGCTTTAACTATCTGATTCTTTGATTCCCTTCTTCATCACGTAATTCAAGCACAGCTTCATAGTTGAGCAGAATCGAAAAACAGAAAGCGAACAAAATCAAACAGTTTGACTTTTTCTTCATTTATACAGCTTATTCGTCTTTTAAGTTTTCGTCAGTGGCATAGGATGACTCTCTTCAGTTCATTTTTCTTTTATCTCGCTTATGTATCCTTACTACGATGCACAGTTCTTAGGGCAAGCTGGGTAAGTGACGTGAGTTTATTTTCTTTTAAATAATTTTACACATACTTTCCAGCTTATTTTGAAAGAAATAAACAAACATATCTTAGTTTTCGTTTCTTTTTTTCTTCATCTGTCTTACCTCATACTCGCATAAAGATTTGTTCGATAGGTAAGAGAATGAGATAAAACACACTCTCTGTTTTTTCATTCATCTAGTTATTCTTCAGACATCATACATCAT